CAAACTCCAGCTTCTCAAATCATTCTCATATCTTTTCATCATACAATAGTTGTACCATTGATAAAACAAACTCGACAAAATAATCCAATTTTATTGCGAGTGAAATCTTAAATAGCATTTCAACTAATAGCGAGTATGAGAAGTAAATCGGCTATGTTGTTCAATACTTTATGATTAAATCATTAAATAAACCGTTAAGAAATATATAATATACATTAAATGGTATTAAAGTTTATTGCATCCCTTTGTTTGGCGTAGAAAAATAAAAACTAAATAATAATTCCCACTCTATCATTTTGGAAAAATGCTAATCACCCTTGAATCAGCTACTCATCACAATTTATTTATTCCGGTATAACATGACCTTATCACTGACACCGGAAGTGACATTTGAAACCGTATGATTAAACTGAAAAAATTGTTAACTGTTTCCAGTGTCACAGTTTTTAAGTGATCTGAAGAATTCTAGTACTGGTCTCTTTACAAAGTTTATCTTCATCTTTATATTATGTTTATTGCCTGAAATAACCTCAGATCCAACGATAAGCATATCAGCTTGAAGACCAGTTCAAATGATAGAGGTCAATGATAAATAGAAAATCGAATTTTTATTTTAGGTGTTTTTGTAAGATAAGCAGTACTGGTTCATCAAGAAGTGACGATAATACCGTGTTATGTAAGAGAAAATATTACCTGATGACTGGTTCGAAGAAAAAGTAACAAAACTGGCTAAAGTTGGACAGCTATATTTTGTACACTGAATATACTGAAATTATTATTTCAGACTGATGTGCCTTTGCTAAAAGCAGTTGACATTTTGTCTGATCACATTTCTACAAACAATTTTTTCATCCCGTTCCCTATATCTTATTTAACGGATTTATTACTTCTATGTACTAACAATGTTAGGTTTACATTTGAAGGCGATTGTTTCCGCCATGTTGATGGTGTTGCCATGGGAAGTCCGTTAAGGCCCCTTTTAGCGTAAATGTCGTACATTCAGAATTTATCGGAGGATTTAATCAAAAATGTGTCACTTTGTAGAAGGTATGCAGGTGATATTGTAATCATCAGTGATAAGTCTTGTTCTGCCACCTAAATTTTAAATCGAATGAATGAAGTTCAGAATAGCATATCACTTACATCTGTAGAAGAGAAAGATAATTGTTTATCTTTCCTAGACATATTGCTTAGTCGACGGCTTGATGGGTCAATAAAAAGATCTATTTATAGAAAACCTACCTGGACAGGACAGTATCTTAATTACCACAGTTTCTGCCCTATTCGGTACAAAAGAGGCTTAGTAAGGTGCCTCTTCAGTAGAATCCGACGAATATGCACTGAAGACACGCTTGATGAAGAAGAAAGAAAGTTGACACAAACTCTGGTTGATAACAATTATCCAGACAAGTTTATCAGGAGATATAAAGTAGTCAGAACACCAAGACCCACTCTACAACTCGCCCCTAAGAAAGACGTGTACATCAGGCTACCCAATATGGGCGGGGGATCATAGCAGCTTGATAACTAGACAAAGACTGAACGTTGCTGATAAAAAAGACTTTTTATGCAGCTAATATCATAATAATAGAAAATGTAAAGTCAATATATCTATCTAAGCCTTTCGAGCATCAGAAAAATGACGTCACATCCCACTGTATTTACCAGTTTGAATGTACATGTGGACACATACATAGGGAGGACTCATCGATCTCTGTTCCAGAAACAGATGGAATCTTCAGAACCCATTAATGGTGGCAACAGGAGACCTAGCTCTTCTATTGCGAAACATATTATGGAGACAGGACATACAAGTGACGTTAACAGATCTCTTAAACCTATCTGTAAAACGTGTTTGGGGTGTTTCCTAAAGTTTCTGGAAGCCCTAGCAATTAGAAAGTTTAAACCACGTCTATGTGTTCAAAAACAATTCGTCATCACATTAAACCTTCCTTGGTAAATTTTATTTTGATGCCATAGCAGATGTACCATTACTTCTGTCATTTGGTTTAGTGGTCTTCATTGTTATTTTGACCTTGAATATGTCCTTTTGAGTTGACCTAAGTCTATTTTCTCACCTCTTTATTAATTTCATATATATCCCTATGACAAGCCCGTATGTGATCAGATTGTTCGAATGTGTTCCGCAAATACATTACACAATTCAGACAAATTACGTCTTCTTATTTATTTATCAAAAATTAACCAATTATTCTAACATACTCTCCTTGTCGAAATTAAAACAAAATATGTGCAAATTCTCGGCAGCTAATAGCACTGAGGGTTAGCCGAATTTTACACACTATCATTTTATTAGGCGTGTCCCTACGATACCTTTTTTTCCCATACCTTTTGTTAATTCTGATATCCTACCACATATTTGTTCGGAACAAATAACTAAGATTTTTAGTAATAGATGAGGCCCCAGTGTGGTGAGAGCTGGCTGTTAGTCAAAATTGGTGGACAGTAATTTACGTCAACGTTTATGTCCCCAATATTGGTCGTGAGAAAAATGAGAACAAAGGCTTTGCGTAGGCGGGTACAGTTAACATATAGATGATCTGACATTCAACAAACAGCCACAAAGAGTTGCAAGGTTAACTTTCTGTGAGAAACAACCATCATTCAGAAGACTGTGTTGTTCTGTTAACAATAATCTATAATATGTACATGAAAATCTATACATATGTGTTGATTTCTTTAATAAACGATCTGTTGCCGTGCTCTTGTCTTCTGTTGTTACAGTGGTATTTCCACTCCCAGTCGAACACTCCACTCATCGTCATCATCAAACATCAAACACTTAGCCATTAGACCACTAGAGTTACAAGAACATATTTGTTTATTTTTTTTTGATTAAGTTATGTTAGACATAAATGCTTGTTCGAGTCGGCTCCCAGTGGCTGAATAGTCTACTGAATAGTCTAACTTTCTTTGAGAAACAACCAATCATAGGACTGTGTTTTTCTGCTAACAATAATCTATAATAATGTACATGAAAATCTATAAATATGTGTTGATTTCCTTAATAAACGATCTGTTGCCGTGCTCTTGTCTTCTGTTGTTACACGAGAATAGTGATTTGAAAAATGCTTCAGATCCTCAATAATAACAATCCTAACATTTGCTCTCTTTCATTTGTTGTGTCTAGCGCAGTTTTTCTGCTAACAATTAGAAATCACATACTTTTCTGAATAATGAGTAGAAGTAAGTTGAGTGAAATACTTTTTCATTTGGAAATAATTAGTAGGAAACAAGATAAAAAATAGACTCAATGTATATATATATATATATATATATATATATGGGATAGGGATATGAGGTCGCCAATATCGACATCCTCTAGGTTACTCCAGATATTCAGACTTAATAAATTGCTGACATAGTCCAAAGGTATATTAACCTTTTTCCCATTCTGTTGCTTCCTAATATTATTTTACAAAGTAGGTTTACTTCAGAAAGTAGACTAAAAGCTACAAAAGCATAAAAATAGTGAAAATATGAAACATTAATGATATTAATTTCCTCCCACACGAAAAAACAAACAAAACAAACAGAAACTAAATAATAATTGTTTGATTCCAAAATAACTGGAATGTACTAATTACACTGATATGTATTTAGAGTATTTAATGGAACACACTGCTACTATAGACTATTCTAGGATGCTGATCAATTAGAGTCCTGGTGGGTTTGATATTTCCTTAGATTATATCACAGCATTTATTAATGTAAAATGACTTATGATAATATGCATACACAGTTATAAAATGTTATACTGAAATTAACTCTCACAGACGGTGTTCGTCTGTTGACATTATGTTAAACCAATTCAAGCGTATAACTCCATTATGGATAAGGTTTTATTTTGATAAATCACACAGTGTTGTACAATAATATTTACTGATGACGTATAGAGCGCAAATTATTGCTCATAATCATATCATAATCGCCTTGATATGTTTACGAGCAATAGTTTTGGTGCTCATCAGTAAATATTACTGGACAACACTGTGTGTGATTTATCAAAATAAATTCTTATCCATAATGGAGTTATACTCTTCCACAGTGCCCAAGTTTTATACTTATATCAACAATTTTAAGTGCAGTCATTCCATAGTTAATCATTTTGTGCAAAACATTCTACAGCAGATTCTTACTCACTTAAAAATTTCCATAAAAAAGCGAATCATATTTCTACAAATTCTATATCCATAAATTCTTCAAAACATAAAATGTATCTTAAACCAGAATTCGAAAATTATTCTCAGACTGGCACTGCTGAATATCTGTTTTACTCAGTTAGGTATAACTGTTCTTTGTCTAACACAAATTATGATATGAACGATTATTATCCCAGGTCGCTTATTTAAATAAAAGATTCATACTAATTGATAAAAATGTCAATTACTCTTTCATACAAAAGCCATTGGTATTTAAAAAGAAAATTTATTATAAACCCAGATTAAAGTACATCCACTTAATGGTTTTGGGACAGGCTAAAACGTTAATCTGAGATTTTATTACTTGTCTAAACCAGACGAATTTTAGTTATTTTACTGTCATTATTCTCGTATATATATATATATATATATAGTGTTATTTAGTTAACTAGGCTTAAATTGTTCTGAAGTTTCGAAAATGATATTTGCTTTTATAAGGTCACACATACTCTAGTTATCTTTTTATCAGTCATATTCATTCAACTATCATGTGAAATAAATTGATTTTTTGAGGTGAGAGAAACGGTGTGTGTTTAAGCTTCATTGAAATGTTATGTGCAAAATGGAACATGAACTTAATTATGAAGCATAAATTCATTTTTGTTATTGCTGGCTTTAAAGCTTTATAATGAGTGATCTCAAAAATAGTCAAAGCCATAGATTATCGGTTAAATGTACATTGACTGTCACATAGTGAATCATACAAGAGCAAACTAAACTACTGCATTTTGTGAAAGTGATCAAAAGTCATTTTAAATATTCTATTAATTTGGCAATATGGGAAATTGTATTCCATCGAGTATCGATATAAGCAATATGGTTAAAGCACCACAAGTTGTGCAATTAATGGACAAATCACATTTTGTCGAAAGCAAAGATTCTCAAAGCCACTTTTTGCGTATTTTCTCGCGCCACATAATTAATTCAGAAAAAAGTGATGACACTTCTTGTTCTACTTCATTTGAGAGTGAAGAACTGCTACAAAAGGAAGGAAACGGTATTGAATTTGGATGTCCAAGTCCCTCAAAGATTTCAAGTATATTAAATAATCGAGGTTTGCCTGAATCATTTAAAAAAACAGACCTTACAATTCTGGGCAGAGTAAGCAAAACGCAGGAACACTTATCCCTAGCAACTGATTTCGTCAAAAATATGAAACTTAAACTTTCAGGAAATAAATCAAAGTGTTTCAGTAATGAAGACAGTGGAATGGAAAGTTATTCACCTAATTCTTCTTCTAATACCATATACTTGTGTTACGATCACAGTAAAATCAGATCAAACGAATCTTCATTCCCCTCATGTATGGATGACGTAACTGCTCGTTGTACCAAAAGCGAAGTGGATATTACTCCAATAAAAAAAGAACAATTCGTACAAGATCGACTGATAATAAATACAACACATATTCCTTCAACGATAGGGGAATTGTCGACACAGAAATGTAACTATAAAATTTCAACAGAAACTGAAAAAAAACAGGGAAATGTAATACCTTTCTATGAAGAATGCTTATATGAAAAAAAGCGAAGCAAAGTAACAGAAGAGATGATGGATAGTTCAAGTGACTATTCACAGTCGTTTTCTAGTCGACCATTTGTGGCTGTAGCTAAAGCAACCTATGCTCGAAAATATGCCCACGAATTAAGCGTTTCAGAAGGGGAAAGGCTACTGGTGCTTAATCATATATCCATTCCAAATGAAAGTGCAGAGCAGAAGGTATACCTAGGAGCGTATAGCAGTGAACTTTGGCTTGTTGAACGAATTGAATTACAGCATATGTTTAATCAGGGTTCCCGTAAAGGACTAGTACCAGGAAGGTATTTGGAAAAAATAAGTAATTCACCGACTACGCACATATCTTGGTCTGATATTGACAGAGCTGAAGCAGACCGTTTGTTGCTTCTGATGGGTAACCCTTCAGGAACATATATCTTACGTCCTTCATCAGGTAATTAAACATTGTTGATTTACACTTGAATTCATTATTTTACATTAATTTATTTTGACCGGATTGTTGGATTTCAGCTCCAGATAAATAGCAAATTTAGCCGTGCTTTCCCTTATAATTTTAAATTCGTATTTATTTAGTGAAGTGTCTTTATCCTAAAGTCACTGAAGCAGTTACAAAAGCCAATAAACTTGCTTATCGTTAGTTTTTAATGTGCCTATTACCGACTCGGTATATTCCAACTTATTGTACAATATTAAAACATTTGTACTGACATCGTTATGTATTATTTATATTTTACTACAAGTGTTTTATACTATTGTAATTTCGTTTACTGCTATTAATTATGATGGCTTGTTTGAAGAGATGTTTCACATATCTTGTTACTATTATGATTCTTATTGATCATTTTTTGAGTCATGAGTGGAACATAACGGTTTCAGAAGCACGTATGCATTCCGTTAGGTCTTCTGCTATATTATTCAACTGGCTCACCAACTGCCTGACGTTTGATTTCACTAAGTGGCACTCTCAGCGCATGTCCAATTCACCTGCGCGTGATTTTCCGGATCTCTTGGACAATAGGTTTATAGCTATTTCACTACACTATCGGAGTTCTTTGTTGCCTGCTGTTTCTCTCTGGCTATCTGAACTTCAGTATCAAGCCAGCGAAGGCACTTGCTAATGTTAGCGGTAATCCTATTGTTAATACTTTAAGTAATACACCCTCCAAATCTGTGAGGTACGGATTTCGCAGTAGTGCTGACAAATCGAACCTTTTTCCTGGTGTTTACTGGCTCCATGAAAACAAACTAATTAGTTCCATAAATAAGCCCAGAGTGATCAGGAAAATGTTTTTACTAAATATGACGACTGGTGGATGTTAAACAAATCATAACTCTTTCTTTAAATCTAATTTTTAATAAATTGTATAAATGACTGTTTTAATTAATTAACTAACTGATTATAGAATACCTATTGTTTGCACACAAATAACTAAAATCTGATTAACGAGATATAAAGACAATAACAATCATATTCAGCGGTTGTTGTGGATGGCCTGACTTGTTTATCACCACTACCAAGGCTTACGTTTCCTTTTCGAAACGTTCATTGTTCTTTCATGCAGAAAGAGTATTCAAAAACGTTTTAACAATTTAGCTGTACAGGATGATTAATTTATGAAAGATAGTAAAATAAAAGCCATCAATTTGGTTTCTATCATTATGTAAATACATCAGTGTTATATTATTCAAACAGCTTGATTGAATCGAACTGGATATTTGACTAGTCTTTAAATTATGTCCTGAAAGTGATATTTTTTAACTGTCAGCACGTAGTGCACGATATCCTATCTTTTGTAGCCTTTATGAGTTAATTTTAAACAGTTTTTGTAAGACAGAAGCATTATTGCTTTCTTCAGCATAGTTCCTGTGAAACTCAGAAACAATTCTTAGAGCGAGTCAAAATTTCAAGTAAGTAAAGAAATGCTCACGCGTTTGAGCAGACACTAGTGAATTCAAGCCTCTTTCCTCTATATTTCTGATTGAGAGGATTGCCTGTTGTAATATGTTAGAGTAAAGCAAAGTCATTTGTTAAACAGGTAATGGTGACAAATTATTATAATTAGTGGATAATTATTCCTTTAGGCAATAACTTATTGAATTATAAATGCTTAAACATATGAGTGAAAACTAATAAATAATAAATCAACGAAAAAAAGTTTTTAGTTGACTCAGGCTTTATTCAGATATAATGATGATTGTACTTAGTATGCCGTAGTACTAAGTTAAATGTACTCATTGAAGCTCATTACTTTCGGTGTGATAATCATATACTTAGTGTTTGGTGTAGTGAACTAGTAAAATAGAATTACAGAACATACTTTTTTTCAGAATCCAGAAGTATGAAGTGTCGGAAGGAAGTATTCAGCAGTAAACAACAGAAACCTGTTTCAAATTATATCAACTTCCACTTCGAACTTTATGGTTACTTCAATAGTAACGATCAGTTTTGAATTTAAGTTACGTTTTCAACAAAAATATTAGCGCTACTATTTCATTATATTTGTTTAACTCTGAATTGAATAAGACTGTTTTGTTGTAACGTTTTCTCCTCCTCTTTTCTTATCAGCAATAATACGTTGTCTTACTGAAGACGCATTTTACGAACGATTTACTGTAACTGTGAGAGAGTAAAAGAATATATATATATATATATATATATATATATATATATATATATAAGAATTTTAATGATTGCTCATGTTTTGTAAAGAATGTTTTTAATCCCCAGCGTTCAGAGTGGGAAATAGGGCTTCAACAACAACACTCTAGCCACAGTCTTCCTTAACTGACTCCATGACTATCCATAAGCCTTCATTTCCTTCTTCCACGGTCTCCTCCATGGCTAATTTCTACACCCAACTCATCACTTCCTATTCTGGTTTCGTTCGAGAACCTATCTGGCTTGTCGTGCCACTTGACTGTCTCCTCAGCGTATGTCCATTTCCTTTCCTTAATTTTTTGTGTGATGAGGTTCTGGTTGGTTTATTTCCAGAGTCCTTTGTTATATATAATTTCTGGTCATTTGATTTTCTGTGTCGAAACAGCAAGACGATGATGAAATTCCATAGCCTGTTGTAAACGCTATTCGTGACGCGCCAAATAGAAGTACTGCCATCAGATTAGTGTTAGAAATTTAGATCTTTTTCCTGTATTTCTTTTCCATCCTAGATTAAATTTGATATAATCAACAGCGCTGCCTGTCTGTAATTGAAAAGATGCTGCCTGTTCAAGTGAGTGAAAGAGGCGAATTTATTTCAGATTTCTGCCATCGGTGGTGACTGATGATTGTTGCCATTTGTTGGATATTTTCATCACCTCTGTTTTTTTGTATGCTCACCTGAAGTCTGCCTTCACTCTCTCCTCTGCTTAATTATTGATTTTCGCCTGCAGATCTTTGAGTTTATGCGATATGAGAGGTAAATAATCCGCAAACTCTTGAACCTCCGGGTTCTTTTCGTTCCTCCATTATATGACCGTCTTCACTTGCATGATCTACCTCATAATCCAGTCCATCACTGTCAGGAAGATCACCGGTAATAGTAAGCAAACTTGTGACACTCCTGTCTTCACTTCAAAGGCTTCACTGAGCTTTTCACTGTGAATTATTCAGCATGTCACGCCGTCATATAACTGTGAAACAAGGTCGATGAATGTTCCCGGTGGTTCGTAGTGTTGATTCTGTTTTCGAATTTCGAACAAAGAGAGAATGAAAATATTTTCAGAAAATTGTTGAAACAACTTATCCCTGCAAAATCAGTCAAGTCACTGAAACAAAGAGACTTTAAATTAATTCAGGATCAACGCTGTCGAAGGTCTTTCCATAGCTGGTGGGACTAGGGTAAAGAATTGGCTGGCGTTCTCGGTCATGGTCTACCATGCCTTATTTTGCTACCTGAAACACCTGTGATTTGTTTTTCCTGACCTCAGCCTGTTCTGGTGAAGTTTTGCAGCTAGAAGAACGTTTAGTACCTTGAGTATGATGCTGCTAAACATTTTGTTTCGGGTGGACAGGGGCATGATGTCCCTCCAGTTCTTCCAAAAGTTGAAGTTGGCATTCATTGACAGTTTCATAAGACGGCTTTCCTTCCAATTGTCGATGCTCTTCCTTCGTCTTGCACCTTCTGCAGTATTGGTGTGAGCGCATCTGCTTGGGTCTCTGGCTTCGATTTTAGTGCTCCTAAGGGAATCTTCTCTGTTCGTGCTGCTTTCCCCCTCCCCCACAGCTTTCAGTAAATTAATCGCATTTAAAACTTCTTTTTTCGGAGGGTTGATACTTCTGCAGCTGCAGGTGGTATTTCTGGACGCGCGGCAGGTGGCTTGAACTATTCAGCGAAATGTGTTTTTGGCTCCCCCTCTTCGGTAATAAAGTTCCATTTACTGTCTTATATTGGTTCCATAAGCATTGTTCTCTTCCGGATAGTGTTTAATAGTGTTTTGTTTCCTGTTTCATATGAGGCCTGTTCTGCCTCAGTTGCCAGTGTATCATCTTCCACTGTTTCCAGAACTTTTTTTCACTTTTATGTTCACTGCTCTATAGAGTGTGCTCTGCTCCCCCTTTCGTTGTCAGTCTCCTCACTGACTCATACTTTGCTTCGTCATCCTAATATCTTCTATCAGCTTGCAGTTGTCCAGGAAGAGCCATCCTTGTTCTGCTGTTTCTTGTGTTGTCCACACAGATGTGTATACTCCTCTTTCAAAACATGTCAGCGCCCTTCCACACAGGTTTCATCAGTGATTTTCCTTAATGTTTACGACATTTCGCTGATCACAGCATTGAAGGCGTCATTTACAGCTTCACCCTTCAACTTCTATGTGTCAATCTTGAATTAGGGTCCATCTTCAGCGTCTTTTAAGACTTACAATTTGATAGTGAAGGTCCCTGTTTCCATTTGGTGAAGAGTATGTCGCCCAGCTAGATTGTACTAAAATAAATAGCTTTCTATCGGAAGTCAGCAAATGGTCTGAGTCTAACGGTCTTAAACTGAATCCTTCTAAGTGTCAAACTGTTGATTTCAGCTTAAGATGTAAACGACAGTTAAAAGAAGTCATCGATTCTCATGACAGTGGTAAAATTGACGACAATGATATAGGAATCAAATCAGGAATTAAGTATCTTGGACTCGTTCTCTCTTCTGATCTCTCCTGGTCTTCCCATGTCTTAGCAATCTCCAGTAAAATATTCCGCCTGACATTTTACATTAAGAAGTTAAGACACTCGAGTATCACTCAACCCCTCATCTTACAGTTCGTAAACTCTTGCATCCTACCTATTCTTCTTTATTGCTCACCCTTATTCTTTCCTGGTTTGCTTAAAAAAGACTATGTCACAATTCGCAGAATACTGAAGACTGTCAGTAGGGTGAGTGGTGTCCCAGTGGACCACATAGTTAACGTCGTTGTCGATAGGCACTTGACTTCGTGCAATAAATTTGCTAAAGGGATTTTGTCTGACTTGGAGCATCCGCTTTATCCTCAGCTTTCACCTTGCATCTCCTCAGGTAGAACAAGGAGTAACTTCAGAAAACTGTATGCTCGCACGTCTAAGTATAAGAATTCTATGATACCATACTTGGCACGTATTTTATGTGATGAAAATAGTGTCAGGAAAGAATTAACTAACCTTTTTTCATCTAGTAAATAAACAATTTCCTCCATCCATCCTTATATACTTTCAAGTTTTACTTTTATTACTCCTCTTATATTTATGGTCCTGTTACTTCTCTGTTTTTTACCCTCAGAATTGCAAACACCAACTTTTCTCCATGACGGCTGTAATCTTTGTTTTCCCCTCACCATATCATGTAAAAAGAACACTATATTCAATATTTTTAAACATGTTAGGATTTCTATACCACATTGCCAATACTGTGTGACACAAGCCAACGTCAATTTTCACTTGTATTCTTATTATTAACCTGGCTGTTATCATTATTATTGCTATTTCCATTTTATATGCTGCATGTTTTTGACACTACCTCTATTGTAAATGTGGAAAATTTTCTGTCTGATTAATTTTTATTTATAATTTGAGGAAATTAGATGCAATATGGTGATTAATGCTGAAAATTCCATTCTGTATCACAAGTACTGTTTTTGGAATAAAGTAAATCATTATTATTATTATTCTTGTGTTTATGCCTTCCACCTCCAGCCATCAAATCACCAGACGTGCAGCATTTTGTAGAGTCTTCTTTCCCCACTCATCTCTCCGACGACCTCTCCTGATTCACAATGAGTTATCTTCCCATTCTGTCTGTTCGCTGCTTGGCTGGTACTCACTCAATCCATTAGAATTTTGATTTCTCCATCTGTTTTGAGCGATATCCATTAATAAATGCAGTTCTCTGTAGAAGTATTCTTCCCATTGATATGCTTTGTTTGTAGAAGTATTGGTTAATTGTCTTTTTCTTACTTTTTGAGTTGAATATTAATGTCCTTATCCTGTAGGATATTGGTTCCCACTGCATGACATTTTTCGATACTATCAGTGATATAATGGTAACCACTGCCTCAAGATGCCCATGATTATCCTCTGGGTGTTCGGAGTAGATCAGTGACACTCCAGCTAACAATCTGAAGAGTCCACTTCCGTCCTATTTTCTCTCAAAATTTCTCGGTACTGCGATAGCACATTTTCCCTTTTCGTTAGCGTTTTGAAAAATATTCCGAAATTCTAGCCTCGTCGAGATACTCAATTTACTCATGTTTACTTTCGCTTTCATTGAAAGAAGTCAAATTGACTAGACTGCCTATCCAAAGGATTTCACCAACCTGCGACATTCTGTCTTTCGATTTCAGCGAAGACTTCGCTTACTTTTTGCCTTTCTGTAAGCTATGAAGTTTTTGTAGCCACTGGATTGATTTTTCGGGGTAGGACCGTTAATCTAACGCCCAGTCTTCCCTCTTTTTCCAGGCTTAGGATCAGTTAGAAAACTAGGCGAGGTTGTTTGATAGAGATTCCTAGGTAGAATAAAAGCAAGCCAAGCCGGATAACACCAACATTTTTGAACTGGCTCAAAATATAATTAGTCTGCCTATCTTAAGCTACAGAATTGATTTGGTTTCATGAAGTCCATACATATAAAAAGATAATTTTACTCAACTCCTCAACTTACAAAAAGTAATTACCTGTTAATTAAAAATAAACCCAACAACCACAATAAGCGAAACTAGCAATTATCCGATGATCAAGCAGCAGTCACTAGTTATCTAAATGCCAAGTTTCGGTCGTGCCAATACCTTTCTGCATACACGTCACTTTGGAGCATGAGACAGAAGCAGATAGGTAAGACCGACATTTAACTAGTGGTTTTCATGAGACCTAGTGGATTTGGAAAGCAGATAAGTGAATACTGTCAATGCTGTATCCTTGAATAACTCACCATTTTAGCAGAATCTGACAAGGCTCTGTTTCTTAATTTATCATACTATCCTAAAAACTCTTAGAACAAAGAATGACGTCGACTTTCCAGCTGATAAACCTTATTACCACAATTAATGTTTGAGCTATGAAGTTTTCTTTTAACAAGCATTTAAAGACAAGGCTGAGAAGTGAAGCGTAACCTCTAGATGTTTCAATAAATACATTATTACATTTCAATAAGAAATATGTCATTCAGAAATTCCTCGAGCACCTTTTTATATACATTTCCTTCTTCCATTAACTTAAAGCACGTTGAAATATTTCAATTATTAACGGTATGCGTCCCCTATTCACGGCTAAAACAATGGCGTTCATAGTAGGCATATTACACTACTAAGATTTTTTCATTTAGTTAACAATTTCAGCTAGCACTTACATCCGTGACAAGAATAAATGTGAATCAAACTCACTATACCACTATGAAGTTAAATTAGTCAACCTTTCTTCGTATTTCTTGTGTAACCTTTAGATTCAGATAACACATATGCTCTTTCGATACGCTATCTGGATCAGTCAACACTCTTATGGTCAGTGAAACACTATCGAATACGACTGCGACTAGCGGATGAAACTTACTATATTTTCCGTCGTATCTCATTTCCTACTATTGATCAACTTCTCGCACACTATACAGGTAAGTTTTTGGGAAACATTTTTATACAAATTGCTCATATATTCAGGAAATATAACAATTGTGATAACTATCGAGAAAATGATAAAAATTGTGATCTGATCGCAGATAATAAAGAGCTGCTAACAAACCTATGTCATTATTTTTGTGTTTTCTTCAAAAGACACTGCCTATAAGATGTTATTTCTTATGTTAGAAACTATTTCGTAAGAAATAACAAACTATTTATTAGTCAGATGAATTACTAATTCAACACAAAACTAACACCGTGGACTGAAATATTGGGATATTTTATGTATTTTGAATGAAAATCAGTTAGCTGATAATTAAAGCCCCTCCCAATCTTTTAGAATATTCTAAATCATATCACTGGTTATTCCTTGTAGTGCTAGCCCAAAAATTATTTTCAGTGTTTTGAATAAAAAAAGGCAAATATTTGATTTGCCTCAAGAGTAGTTTGTTTTTAGGATCATCATTTATACAAAAGTAGAAGTACTAATTTAGTTATTTACACATTCCTAATAACTATATTTCTCATTATTTCTCTTAACTTTCTTCTCGATAATATACACTACTTGTATGAAGCATTCCCTATTCTAAGGAAAACGTCCTTCCAAATAAAGATGATAAGGTGTTCGTGATAGGCTTTCTCTAAAGAAATTCAGATCACTCCTTTCAATAATTCAGCATGAGTGAAAACTAAATTCTCAGAGTTTTCAGGATTTAATCCAATATTTTAATTATATAACATAAATTTATTCACGCATAACGTTGAAAATTATCGTTTTTTTCATAGTCAGTGCGGATGGAATCGCTTGTTGTCTAACAATACCTTACCCAAAGATTTATGAACCACCCTCAAACTTGTCATTGTTGGAAGTGAATAGAAATAATTTCACCCTCAATAAAAAACTGGGTCAAGGAAGTTTTGGAGAAGTGTGGCAAGCCACATGGAATAATCGAATGTCTGTGGCAGTAAAAAAGTTGCTTGGGAATGGCAATATGGATAGAGTACTATTTTTGAACGAAGCTGAGCTTATGCATCGCTTGAATCATCCGCATGTAGTTCAACTTTTAGCTGTATGCACAATGCCTGAGGAACAGCCAACTTATCTTGTAACTGAATTGATGGAAAACGGATCTTTAAAACAGTATATGCAGAAGCTCGACCCTAAAAAGAATACATTAAAAAACCTTCTTTCTATGATGAAGGATGTGAGTGTTTATCTGAATAAATGTTAAATGTGTGTTTTATTGATAAAGGTCAGTGTATTTTTAAAATCAGAAGTTCAACATTTATTTATTTAACATCAAATAACCAACTACAAAACTCTGCTTAATTTTAAATAAAATTCAATTCACTTAGTTTAAGTTTAGCCTGCTTCATATATTATTTAGTAAAGTAAACTTTATATGCATATGATCACACAAAACTTGACTTGTTCAGTAGGAGCTGAACTAAAGCAAATTATCTCTTCATCTCCAGCTTCAGAAAAGAATTTTGCTGTCTCTATATTGCTACTGCAATTAAGTAAGGTCAGCCTTCGACACTGCCTCTAGTTAAGCATATTATTATTATATCCTTTAATTCCTAGAGGAACATAGGGCTTCAGCTGCACGTATCCATTGCCTTCAGTTCTCTGCCAACTTTTTCACCCCGCTTCAAGTCTGCCCAAATGCTTTCATCTCATCCTCACATGACCTCCTCCAAGTCACCCCACTCTCGCACTGACGACCAACTCGCCACCCGCTTCCCTTTCGGGTTCCACTCGAGCGATGGCTTGTCTAGTGATGTCACTTGATGGTTTCCTCAGAGTATGACCAGCCAATCCATCTCCATTTCTTCCTGCCTATTTGTTTCACAATCGGTTCCTGCTGAGTTGGTTTGCTCATTTTCAGAGATCCCTCCCTGTTGCTGATCTTTTCTGGCCGGCCATCTGAACTTCAGTATTGAGCGAAGACAACTGTTGATGAAGGTCTGAAGTTTGTTTGAGATGCTCTTTATGACGCGCAGTGCAAGTCTCTGATCCATATAGAAAGTAGCACTGAATTTACATTGGAGTTGAAAATCCGGATGTTATTTTTGATGCTGAGTGCTGTTGACTTCCACACAGACTTAAGAGTAATGAAAGCCTGTCTTGCTTTTCTGATTCTGGCTTTGATATCCTCGTCAGTTTCGCCTGTAGTTGAAAGGATACTTCCCAGGTAAAAAAAGAGGTTGTTTCTTTCAGGTTCCTCCCATTTATGCTGGCTGATTGTTGTCTGTTGTTGGTGTGGCCCAGGAATCTTCATCACCTCTGTTTTTTCTATGTTCACCCGAAGTCCTATCTTCTCTGGACCCTTCTTCTGCTAGCTTGTTGCTTTTCACTTGCATATCTTCCAGTTTGTGGGAAATCAGACGTCTGTCTGTCTGGATTCAACATAGAACTTGGCACCGAAGTGCAGCAGTTCGAGTTGCCACGTTCCAAATAGCACACAGAGGTAGACAAGAAGATGAGTGAAGAGAATCAATAGAGTTTGACAAGTATAAGAGTGAAACAGAATGGGTAATGGTAGAAAGGAATATGAAAGATTACAGAGACTGAATACATCTGCGCCATTGACAACGATTTTGAGCCATGTCACCTATTGTCTCCAGCCATTGATTCCTAGAGTCCCGAGGGCCCCAACCCGGGAGTCTGCATCTCCCTACCTGACTCAGTTTAACTGTCAAGGATTTCATGGATTGATGCCATGTTTTTGTTTGGCCACCACTGGCTCTTTTCCAACCTGAACCTATATCAGCTAGCAATGCCCGTCGGGGGAGGCGGTGGTTAGGCATGCGCAGCACGTGACCTAGCCATCTTAGTCTATGTAACTTTATAGCCTCGTCGATTGATTTTCCCTCTTTGCCCAACACTCTACGCCTAACGTCAACATTACTTATCTTGTGAAACCACCTAACGTGAGACAGAGATCGCAGACATCTATGATCGAAAGCAGTCAACCTTTTCATGTCTTCAACGCGTATTGGCCATGTTTCAGAGCCATAGAGAAGGACGGAGCGAACTGATGAGCAGTACACACGTCCCTTGGTTGATAACCGGATGTCACGCCTACGCCAGAGATGGTGTAAGTCAGCGAAAGCAGCTCGAGCTTTTCGGATCCGTGCTGAGATTTCATCGCCAATCAGTCCGTTGGTGCTAATACAACTTCCCAAGTAGGTGAAGTGGTCAACATGTTCTATCACTTCACTCCCTATCACTAAGTTAGGGGTTGACGTGGTCCAGTCCTGTAGCAGCATCTTACATTTTGCAGGGGCGAATCGCATGCCAAACATACGAAGATTGCTGCTCAAGGTGTTCAGAAGACTCTGCATTTTGTCAGCATCCTCCCCTAACAGGACTATGTCATCTGCATATTCTAAGTCCATTAGATTATTCCCTGGTAACAAGTCGATTCCTAAGTCACTACGTTCAGTTAAGGATACTTCCATTAGCATATCTATGATGAAGTTAAACAGAAATGGGGAAAGTGGACATCCCTGTCGGACACCACTGGTTGTTACCAATTCAGATGACAATTCCCCATAAGCCCTTACACGACTACGTGAGTTTGAATAGAGTGCCTTGATTAGTGCAATGTACTTTCTTGGCACTCCCTTCACAGTCAGACATTGCCATAGTACCTTTCGATCCACGGAGTCGAAGGCCGCCTTCAAGTCAAGAAATATGACAATTGTTGGACGCCGAAAAGTGTGTCTATGTTCTAGAATCTGTCGAAGAGTGAAGATATGATCTATGCACCCTCTACCTGGTCTAAAGCCTGCTTGATTTTCCCTTGTCTGTTCCTCCCGAGTTCTGCTTAGTCTATGCATGATTACTGAGCCTAGGATTTTAGAGACTATGTTCGTTAGGCTGATCCCCCTATGATTATCACACGAGGACTTGTTTCCCTTCTTGAATATCGGTATAATAAGTGACTTACCCCAGTCTGATGGTACTGTCTCTGATTCCCAGACTTTGCCTAGTACCTCAGTTAATCTACAAACTAGTATGTCACCCCCATATTTAAACACCTCCGGAATAATTCCGTCGGGTCCTGCCGCTTTGCCTCGTTTCAAATTACTGATAGCTTTTGTAACCTCACTACAGACGGCGGACCAGTGTCTATATCCCATTCGGGTGTGTTGGATGGCGGGGAGGTTCAGTGTGGCTGTAGGCAAGTTAAATTGTTCCTCAAAGTGTTCTTTCCAGCGTTCAAGGCGTCTATCCTGAGAGCTAATTAAGGAGCCATTTTTCTCAGAAATAGTCTCACTTATGAATTGCCTTCTCCCACCCATTTCTGATGAGTCTAAAGAGTTGCCTAGTGTTGCCTATCGCCGATGCTTTTTCCATCTCTTTCGCCTTTGTCACCCACCACTGTTCACGGTCCTTGCGGAGACTTTTAGTAAGTTTCCTTTTGTGCAGCTTTCGCTCCTCATTGAATTCGGAGCTCGCCGGAATAAGTCTTCTAGCATCTATCAGTTCGGATGAGGCAGTCGAAATCCAGTGGTTTTTACTCACCTTTGGATTTGCTTATTCACAGCTTTTACAGCTGTATCTATAGCTGACTGAATATTCTTCCAGGCTTCTCCAGGGTGAGCACAGCTGTCGAATTCAGATATGCGTTTAGCTAGTTCTTCCTCAAATAGGGATTTAGTTTCCTGATCGAGCTGGGGACGTGATGGTTTTACCGCCAGCTGTTTCCTACGTCCGTTCAGTCGTAAGCACACACGAGCCCGGACCAGTGCGTGATCGGTATCTACACACGTGTTCCAGAAGGAGCGACAATCTCCTACCGACCCACGCCAACGATAGCTTATTGCTATGTGGTCTATTTGTGTCCAGCGTTGGTTTGATGATGGGGGTCGCCAGGTTAAACAGTGTCTCTCCTTGTGTTTAAAGTTAGTGCTTACAAGAAACAAATGATTATCTGAACAGAACTGTAGGAGACGGTCACCGTTGTCGGTTCGCTGGCACGGAACTCCATAGGTGCCACCGACATCCTTCTCAGATTGACACAATTTCCCTACTTGAGCGTTAAAGTCACCAGCTAGAACGACTATATCTGAGCGTTTAGCCTTTCTCACCAAACTAGACAGCTTTTGGTAGAACTCATCCTTCGTTTCATCCGAACTGCAGTCAGTGGGGGCGTAGGCGGAGATTACGAAAAGGCATCGGCGAGTAGTGCAGTCCTTTCTCCTTCTTACTGATCCGTTCAGACGGACAGCACACATTCGGCTATCTACCGGGATCCAGTCAAGCAATGTCTTTTCTGCCCTAGTACTCAGAGCTATCCCTACGCCAGCTAATCCTCGTGAACTAGCTGTGGCATCTCCTGACACCCTCAAGGTGAATTTTGAAGATTCATCCTGTTGGCCAGGTGGGGTTAGGTGAATAACCACACTTGGGTCTTGTATGCGTGTTTCTGAAACACAACATACATCAATGGCTCGAGATGCCAGGGTCTTAGCTAGTGATGCTTGTTGTCCTATTTGGCAAAGTGTCCTAACATTAAATGCTCCTATATGAAATTGGTGGCGTGGCTTTAGGAGACTATCCGTGGTGGTTTTTTGGCTTTCGTCGTTTTTAGTGGACACAGAGTGAAGAGGGAGTGAGGAGCCATCAAGTAGAGGAGTTGCATCAGTGGAGGAAGGCAAGGTAATAGAGATGAAGATGAAGACAAAGATAAGTGAGGATTAGAGAGGTTTTGTGTGCATTTTGGATTGTGAGGGCGATTGTTACTTCCCGGCTGCCCACACCGTGGAAGTTGGTTGCGTGACCGCAGAGCCCAGGGGACAACTGCTTGAGGCCGGTCACACGCGGCCTGTTTTTGTTCGTTCTTTTTGTTTGGTGTGCCTCAGTAGCATACTTATCACTCCTGCCCTGTGACACGGCAGCAGGAAGCGCGGTCGTTGTTAATCCGGGCCACGGCCGATCCGGCATGAAATTTTGTGAATTTGTTTGGATCATGGTATTGGATGAGGTAGCTGCTTTTTGTTTAACCGCTATCCAAACAACCTGCCTGGCATGGTAGAACCTCAAGAGACATAAGTCTCAGCCAGTATAGCTTGATTAGGTCATTGCGGTGTTCAAGCCCGACCACCACGTCAAGGTAGCAGCTTTCGGTCGGGCGAAGTCCATATCCTCCAAGTGTTTTGTATGAGTCCATTTTATGCCTGTTTCCTGATTGCCCATTGTCTGTCGCATCACCCAGTCTACTGCAGTCAGGAAGATCACTGGCGATAGTAGACAACCAGCTTGCCTCACTTCCGTCCTCACTTCAAAGTCTTCCTCTTCGCACATAGCCTCCATCATTCTTCATCTCTCAGTAGCATTCTCTATGTCTGATTAGAGGTGATGCATTCAACTTCAAGTTTCTTTTGCAAATTCGAATTCTGTAAGCGGTATGTAAACTTAAAACTAACAATGAACTTACCAAGACACATATTTTATTTCAAGCGAAATTTAAATATTTTATGAAAAGTTTTCAGCTGACTAAGAGATTAATAATTACAAAAGCGATCAGCAAAACAAAAGCATTTTCTCTCTTCTTTCCCAACAATTTATCACTTTAATTAATTTGAATCAAATTGGCAGGGCTGTATAAGATAATGCACTTTCCTAATTAATTCAATGGCAATATTGTCAATGAATTAGGGAAATGTTCATAAAGTTTTATTTCAGTCATGTATTTATGAAAATATTACTCAACTAGACAGAAATAATTATAGTTATTAGTCTATGTATTTTGTACTTTCATGACTTTATTTCTAGGTCGCAATGGGAATGATGTATCTTGAGGAACAGCATTATGTTCATCGTGACCTTAGATCAAGCAACGTACTGGTTGACAGCAATTACAAATTGAAAGTGGCAGACTTTGGTCTGGCTCATTTACTAAATGATTCAGACGAATACGTCGGAACATTACGTAAGACGAATTATTTGCAAACCTTACCTTTAACAGCTATTTGAAAAAAGATAATATTGTGTCATTTTCCTATAAGTGCTTACCAGATACATAAAAACTATAAGAATCTTAACATGACCACACAGAACATTCACATATTTCGATTATTCGCTTTAGAGGTGAAGGCTTTTACTGTTATGTAACTGAATTCTGGAATAAGGAATTAACTGAGCTAAAGGTGTTAGTAACCTTCTGTAGAAAAATTACCTAGACATTCTGAAGTCGAAAATTCTTAGCGTATCCAAATTACAAAATATCAATGGTCTTTATCTGAGCAGTAACCAATCAAATGATGTGGATCTTTTAAAAGTTGATGTAAAAAACTGTTCTAGGTTGTATGCATTTCACAGGAACCAACAAAATACAGTGATATAGTATTATCCAATTCAATCTGTCATTTTTTTTACTTTGCTTAAGTTCATCATGTTAGAAAAATTATTTCAATTTTCATCTCTGTTGATTTTGTCATAGGTTCTGAAAAGACTGTGAATAGTGACTTAAATACACGATTTTGCAATTTGACCGGCAAACGTAATTTTTTTCGATGGTATATTTTTTACTTCATTCCTCTTTTCATTTATATCTCACGTGATGCTGATAAGTACATTTTTGAAAACATCACATAAATCATAGCAGTGTGAGCGAATACTTTTAATAAAGGCAAACAAATAAATGACATAATCGTTCATAAAGAAGAAATAGAGATATACAGAGAGTATCGTGTATTTTTATTAAAACGCCTACTGTATATTATATTTTGAGTCTACCGGATGACAACAGCACACTAGTAACAGAAAGGCATTTATGCTCACCACTATAAAATTAATCGTCTCACAGAAATACAATCTACAAGGAAATAAAAGATAGTACCATTTTATTCTACTAAAATTGTAGTTCTTCCTTTGTTCAAATTCATTAAGGGGAATAAATGTATGAAATCTACAATCGACTGACTAAATGTTAACATCTGAACTTAAGAGTCACAAATACTGATACTTATAAAATCAACAATATCTGGCATGCAAAAAGATAAAGTTGACAATCACCTGCATTTCTTGACAATCAGCAGCCGCTATCCATGGATACTTGCATTTATGAGTGAAGCGATTCTCTTATAATGACAGAAGCACTGGTGTTATCACAGATGTATTTCATTTTCAATAGGTAAACTTTTGTTGAATTTCGCTCTAGCTATAAAATGACGAATGTGGTTCTTGTGCTACACTTCTACACTGATCAGATACTTCATCCTTCTGTGAATACGCAACAAGAAACACTGTAATTTGATTTTGTCGATCGTTTTGCTTCTCCTATTCAAAGGTGTTTTTCGACAATGCTTTCATATCTAGAATTATTAACGTTATGTTAAAGTGGCAGTAGGAGCGCTATCACTCACTGGGATACATGCAAAACTAACCAAAGAGTCCAAAATAGGGTGAAATCTACATCCCAGATTCCATTGTTAGCTATCACGAGTCAAAGAAAATTAAATAATTTATTTCTGTTAAATACTGTCTTCTCTAAGGCATCTGTGAAGAGATTAGACAAAATTCTATTTCAGTTTCTGTATGAGAATATATTACACAGATACCAGTATCATAGGCAAACGAATGTTTTATGAAGATCATTGTATAATTCCAACAAACTGTAGCATAAATTCTAGTTTTATGTGTCTGTTCACAATAAGGGTAACAAAAGTTTCAGAATATTTAGACGTACTTTTGTGTGAGTGAAATATTGGTTCCAAAGATAATATGAATCATCAGTTCTTTCATGAACTGTGCTTATGTTTTAGGACGGTAACTGTATCGCATAGCTCACAATCACAACCGAGCTTTTCTAAAGATTCTTGGTGCTGCATTGATTTGATAATTTAAACCCAAATTATGCAATGTCAGGCACTCATTTTGACTTGGATGTTACAACTGCTTTTCATTAAACAGAACTTTGTTCGCTGAACTAAGATCAGCATCGGGAAAAAAGGATGTAAATCCAAATTCTTGGTTATGCTACTGCTGAATAAATTCCTACAACTGGTTTTTATGATTTACTTTTTATTTGGTATTTTCACGAATTAAGCGTGAAACGCTTTAACAATACGACTGATCGTAGATCTGAATTTCACCAGTCTTTGATACTGAGCCACAGAAATTTCATCGCTAGGCCTATTGACACCTTTGTAATTTTCTTTAGATACCCCATTTCAGATCTCACACCCTTTAGCATTAAATTTTGAAACGCCATAAAATAACCTATTAAGCAAATAACATGCAAATACAACAAGACCTCTACAACTGATATGCTTCTTAAACATTCATTCTGTCTAAAATGCTGAATATATATATATATATATATAAATATATATTCGAAATTGTTTAGTAAATACATATCTCTAGATGACATCAACTACACGTCAAGTGGCAATACTAACAAGCTTTTTCAAAATTCAGGTAGTAGACAGAATGGTGAAAGCTGCTGTTTTCTGAAAGATTAGAATTGGTAACAAACAGTTGATAAATTACACATCTGTTAATTTCAATAAATGTTGAGATTGAAGTTAAACTTCTATTCGAAATTTTGATCAGATCCATTGAAAAAATTATCCCCAGCTTTGTATACATCAGAAGGATCCAATGTCTGTTAAATATGTCTCCAAACAACTGAAACCACATGCATTCATTGATGTATTTTGAAGCGGTAACATTTACTGCGTTGTCTGTAAAAGGAAATGAATTTCCTTCAAAGAAAAAATATAAAAGATAAAATACCACAAATAAATTTCGAAAGTGAACAAGTTTAAATATTGTTTTCTTGAAGTAAGCGTAACTTTTGTTTCTAATGTTTTTAGGAAAAACTCTGTACAGATAATCATCAAAATGTTAACATTTATGCAAAAGAAATAATTCCTTCCACTTGTATAAATACTCTTCTCTGTGGACAATTATGTTAAGGCCTTAATGAAGTAAACTGTATATTCTGTGGTATACAGAAATATTAAATAAACTGATTTAACAAGTTTCACTTCCGAAGCAAGTGGTTTGGATTCGAAATTTCATAATCGAACATTGAAACATTTTACCGACTAAGTCTACGTAACACATACACACAAAGATGAATTCAGCGCAAATGTCACTCATTAGAATTAGTTGAATCGGTGTTCACTCACTATTCTTTGGGCAATAACAGTAATTGTTAAATCGTAAACAGATGAGATAAAAGTATTTTTTTTTTGGTTTTTTACTGTCATCTTATCAGTTATTAAATTGTTAGACTACATTACATTCGTTTGCCGCATAACTGCCATTTTATGAATTTCCAATAGGTACGAATTCTGCAGCTTAAACCTAAATGGCAGTTTACATTCAAAAGGCTTTCCGCTTACCTATATAAACCAAATCCCATGTAATGACATTTACTGGCCTAAAAAATAAAGTTTACCGATTTGGTAGTAAGGGAAAATTTAAATATGATGGCGAAAATTTGTAGCTCACCTGGATGATATTTGTGTAGTTATGTTCTCTCAGCTGGATGGAGTATTAGGGAAACAACATCAGCGAGGGCTTCAACTTCAGGCCAAATTAATAATAATAATGGTAAAGCTTTATTTAAGACAGTATGCGAATATACCGTACAAACATTTTCAGAGTATTCAGTTCCAAAGTACTTTTTTCCTCACACCGGATTCACATGTAAAGTAAAAATCTGAAGTATATCTTCATTTCGTTGAAGAACGGTAGAGCGTTTACTTGGAAGCAAGTTAAACCATCGCGCAAGTTTATGTATAGGTCATTTGACATAACTGGACGATTAAAACAATGATAAATCCAGATGAAATTAAGCATTTTGGAGGAAAGTAATTTCGTTAGCCCAATGATTTAAGCAGGCCACCTTGAAAAAGAATGGGCTGAAGATGTTGTCTAGAAACACATTTGTTGCTTTGCAACCAAACCATCCTGCACAGAGAACACAACTATATCAATAAGGCAAAAGTTATTTTCGCATTTGGTTTATTTATTTAACTAACCAATGATGATAATTATCGAGTAAATTTGTTCATATTTCTTCAAACATGTTCTATGAAAACCCAATATGGCACCAACACACACAATTATTATGAAAAAGTTACCAAATTCCCTGTACGGTGGACAGCTCCAGAAGGTATTTTAAAGCAAGCATATTCAATAAAGTCAGACATCTGGTCATTTGGTGTACTTATTTATGAAATTCTGACCTTTTGCGAATTACCTTATAAAGGTTAGTTATACATATCTCGCTTATTTTCTTGAACATTTTGCTAAACACTGAAATTATATTCCAAATGTTGTTAAAATGTGTCAATGTGTACACCAATCGCAGCATTCTAAGTATTAACTCAGCATTTCGACAGACAAATGGGGGGTTTAAAAATCCTTACTTTGGTTAGCTAAAACTTATAAATGATTTCTCAGTATCACTGCATTTGCTAAGATGTAACTTATCCAGTTCATACAATCGGTTACAGCATCATGAAATTGACGGCTGGATATTCACAGAATCTCCCAAAATAGCAAATCTGACCCTTTTGTTTTGCTTTATGCATAATTAACGAAGAATTACTAACAGCTAGCTCTTGGACTTATTTTGTAATCTGTCAAGTGAGAGTTTAAAAAAAACTAGGAAAGACTGCACTAAAGAACTCGATGAACAGTTCCTTATTAGTCGAATACTCTCTCTTTGTCACTTGCCCTCCAGTTTATTTTTACTATTCGGGAATGAAACTAACATTAAACCAAATTGCGTAAAAATGAATATCACTTGAGTGGGCACTAGTGAACTATTTTTTCTAGAAATTAATTCACCTTTTTAGTATAAGTTAGAATGAAATAAATTAAAATTTTATACAGTTCAAAACACCATCTACGTGTAAATGCTATTGTATCCATCAATCATTTCATTATATCGACCGTCTCTAATCGCCTAACGCATTTATCTTACCGTAGGACAGGTACATGCAGTTAATTCGCATTGCATTTTTAACTTTTGAATAACCTAGTATGATGAGAAACACAAAGAAAAGCACAAGATATCTATTTTCGAATGTTCATTTTCTTTATTTGAGTATTTCATCTTTCTTTAGCTTCCACACGTCAGAGGACACATTTTCTGTTATACTGTATAATAATAATAATATTAACAGCTTTATTCCAAACGGTATTTGTGGTACAGGTATGGAATTTTCAGCGTGCATTACAATATATTGCATCTAATTACCTCATGAATTTTATAGGATTTTTAAAATAAAAATAAATAACTGAAAAAAAAACCAACGCCATAAAAATAAAAGCGAAATAAAAATTTTAAAAAAACAGCGTAGATTATTACATTTCAAACAATGCACCACAGGATATGAAATATAAAGTTGATGCGTGATAGAAGGTGAGAACAACAGTGTAATAGTAACGAGGAAAGGAAAACAAAAACCAATGGGACTATTTGTCAGAGTGCCGCACTGAGTTGATTGGGTCATACCTAACGGATTTCTCATCACATAACAGCTGTGCCAGATATGGTATTGTGGAGTTTTTGTATTTGGTAGTCCTAGCATAAAGCCGCCTATAGCTGCTTCTAGTTCTACCAGATGAAATGCAAGGAGATAGATGCGTATAGAGAGGATGCCCGGGGTCCGACAATATTGTATTCGCTAGTTTCTTACATGACGTTATATGTCTATCCACAATAGTGTTAACCAGTTGGTTTAACGATATCCCACTTGCCCTACTAACGGCTTTTAGTGGCCTTCTCAGCGAAGCAAAGTCTTTCTTAAGTAGTCCAGGAAAGATTAATGGAGAGCAGTAAAAGGGGATGGGTAGAATACAAGAATTCAAAAACTAAGAAAGCAAAGACTGCTTTATGCCAGACTGCTTAAATTTCCTAATGTAGAACGTTAAGCGAAACATCTTTCTAGCAACTAGCAAGATGTGGGAAGACCAGGAGAGATCGGTGGAAAAACTCAGTCCAAGGTTTTTGACATTAGATGTATTTTCAACCTCTGTGCCGTCAATGATAGTGGGGCCATGTGAGCTAACTAGTCGCTGTAGGTCACATTTACGTCTGAAAGTGAAATTGACTACCTGACATTTAGACGGATTAAGCTTAAGTCCGTTTGAAGAGGACCACTGACTGATTTCCGACAGAAATAACTTTCTGTCGGAAATTAGTAATAAGTAATTTCTAGTTAATACCCTAATCAAATCATAGCTCAACTGACTCAGATATATTAAGCTGTAAAAACATTGATCTGTAGCTCACAGTCTATCAGCAATTTATGAAAAAAAACAGTCAGATGCTTCAGTATAATTATCCTTAATTTATAAGTCCATTGGTACATATTTCAGAAGTTTTACTTCTCTACTGGTCTCCATGGAAATCTGTTTCAAGCGTAACAATGGTGATACATTAAAAAGAAATTTTTTTCAATTTTTCACTCATCAGTTGTCGTTTGCATTGCAATCAATTACTAATCAGAATTCTCGCTACTGAATTAACTGTGCACCCTTTTCTTTATTTTGCAATAACAAAGATAAAATAAAAAGTAGTTTGTGAAGATTGTTCTACACTACTAAACAAAATCTGTTTTCTTCCATTATTATTTCATCAGTTTTAATCGAAAGAAAGCAGTAAGTAAAATAAGGACTAACTCTCTTCCCTAATTTACAAGTGCGATGACTTTGTTGAAAACTAGAGAAGCATCAGGTGACCTCATGTAAATCAGATGTGATATTTTTCTTATACATTTTTTATACAAAGACACATTCTGTCTCATTTTATCTTTAAAAACCTCCGTTTCCTAATCTCTAATGGCGATCCAGTTAAAAAGATACTCTTCTATTGTTGCTGTCAAGATATTTACTTAACAATAATGGTAAATGAAAATTGTTACATGCAGAGTTGACATAAGCTGAAAGAAAAATGTAATTGGATTACAATCCATTGATTGAGTACCATGTAGGAATTATATCTCCTGCTATCTTGCCACTTCATGAGTTTGCGCCCGAAACCAATGTGAAACGACTAATCTGAGCTTCCCACTTGTTGATAATTTTCCTAGGCGATATCACTTCCAATGACACTCATCCTAGACTAATGTGAATCCAATCAAACAAAATTCCCACAGTACCAATACTCGAAAATTAATGTGAGTTCAACAAAACTTATCTTAGGTTATCTCATTTAAAAAGTAATATTTTGTTAAATTGATTCAAGTTGCGGTTAATTTATTTTGGCAGTTTTATTTACTATTTGAGATGTTTCTTCAGCCTTTCTGATTTCTCGTCTCATTTTTTGTTGATGTTAATTATACAGAGTTGAGCGCTCAGGAAGTTAGAACACGTGTCTGTTCAGGTTACAGATTACCTCGTCCAGAGATGAAAATTCCAGTAGCAAAACCTTTGTTAGCTGCAGATGATCACTATGAAGTACCCAAACTCAGGAATACCAATAACTTTATGTGTCCCATAGGTTTATACAATAAAATACTTGAATGCTGGAATATTCTACCAGAAAAGAGACCATCATTTAATTCATTACACTGTTTTATCGATGAAATGTTATCGAAGGAAAGTGAAGCCAATTTTTAAATTAATACGCTGAAACAGATGCTATTTTATTTTATTTTTTGAATTCAGAGTCATAAAATAAAGTCATTTTTATGTAATATTAAAACCAGAAGAATTTTTATGCTAATAAACCACTATTCTTTTAATTATTTTAAATTGAAATACTAAAAAATTCCCCCATAAAACCAACAGATAAAACTCGTTTCGTTCTTACTACTGTATCTTACTTCAGTGGGATAAATTATCATTGTGGAGTAACCTTAGGTTTTGTACTTTTCGGAGGTAGCTAAAATCTACTGACCACGTTTGCAGTGTAGTCATGAAGCTCGGAGGCTGACCACTGCTATGTTTTAGGTGGTGGGAGGCAGGTGACGAAAATTTGTCCACCCAGATTTTATGCTAGCTGGGATGCATTATCGAGGCAAACTACGGTAGGAAACAATGCCTCCCCAGATATTCAAACAGCGTTAACCAGTGCCGTAGTCAGAGAAATTGCCGCCAAGCTGTTCTTGAATTCGAATTCCAGATCGGTTGCAGATACTTCTTGATGACGAATGCAGATGAACACAAAACCTGCATTCAGAGCTCCCCAACGACTGTCCCTAATAATCGGACATCAATTCCCATCATAAACCACTACCAGGATTCTCTAAACATTTTAGTCAGTCATCGGTCTCTTCAAATATTAGCTTAATTGATTTCTCTGTGAATAAATCAACAATTTATTTCGGTCGATTCAATTTAGCTAGTTCTTACGTTTCATCTTCTCTGAGAGAATATTCCAACGGATTTACTTTTAGACCAATGTGAACGATGGTTAGATTATATTGTACAGTGAGCAGAATGGTTTTCATCATATTTTATTCGTAAAGCGAGGTAAAATTTCGCACAAAACACCCTTTCAAAGTTTCAACAGGCAGCATTAATATGTAGACTAAGTAGCTGATAGTACACATTTGTGATGTCAAATCACACTTGTTATTAGTGACCGCTGAATAAGGTCAGTTACCATAGAACTACTACGATTTAAGTTGAAATAAATTCAATAGCAGGTTTTGAGACTAATCCTTTCAAATTACTGAATAACATTACGTAACCTAGACAAAAACAAACTTAATAACCTAAGTTATATATCATCAGGTCATAGAGGTGATGAATCCTTGTCAGTTATATAGAACGTTTTAAAGTATTCTAACCAACTGTCATTATTTTTGTAACTACATCTGTGAAAGCAGTTAAATGTTGACCAGGTATTCAAGAGAAACTCTTCAAGTATTAGATTGATATTTATTCCATCAATTTTCCCAAAGCGCACATCCTGTTGGTCTAAGACTCAATTTGATTTGCAATGAGTAACTCATGGTAAAAGTATTGTAGTAACTCGGTGTATTTATATCACTATCATTAACTTTATTCTTAAACAGAATTTCCAAGTAAATTGCTTGATTGGACACTATCCTTTGTAACTGTGTTTCTTTGGAATTCGACGTTTCTGACAATACATGCTGTATAAACTTCACAAGTGACATTCGTTTTTACACAGTGTATATTAACAAATCAGTATTTGAGAACACTGGAAGACGTGAAGATGTGTTGGGATTTATATGTATGCCATCCGAATCCGGTAAATTGGGCATCCACATAACACTTTTAAGCTAAAGCTGTGTTTTAACTAATAAACTAATGATTTATTTTCATGTTACTCTTCCGCTAGGTTCCACGTAGGACATAAGGCTTCAGTAGCATATCTTTATTTCACTCTGAACTTTGCTACCACTTTTAGCTCACTGCACAATTATACACAACCTTTCACTCCATTTCCACATGATGACATTGATTTCACCTTGTGACAACAGAAGACAAGGGCCAGGCAACAGATCCTTTTATTACGGAAATCAACACTTATTTATATAAATTTTCAGATGTTGGTTTTGTAGGGATTTGGTTTGATTGTATGGATGTCAGCTCATGATTATATAAATTTCACATACATTATTACAGCCTAGTCAAGCAGACAAACGCAGTCTTCTGATTGGTTGTTTTCGAGTTCCTCGGAAAGTGGAGCCATCCATCTGCGAATCATATTTGCCCACGTTTAAATTTGCTGTGATTGGTTGTTGAAACAGCCTTGTTCATATTTTCTCACGGCCCATATTAGTGACCTAGACATTGACGTAGATTAATGTCAACTAATCGGCTAGCAGCCTGCTCTCACTTCAACCTTACAAAATCCAACTCATCACTTCCTATTTGAGTTCTACTAGATCTTTTGCTATAGTATGCCATTTGGAAGTCTCCTCTGCAAATGTCCAATGCATCTACATATCCTTCTACATGCCTGCTGGTCGCCCCGCCGACTCTTAGATGTCATTATTCATCTGATCTTCAGAATCCACAAAAGGCAGACATTTTCGAAAGTTTTGCTTTCTATAACGCACTAAGTCTCTGAACCAAATAAAAGCACTAACTCGACATTATCGTTGAAAATCTGAATCCTGCTGCACATGATGAGTGCAGCAGATTTCAACACTGATTTCAGTTAAATCACTATCTGTCTTACTTTTCCGATCTACCTTTGATATCCTCACCCATGCTGATTGCAGTTAAAAAGATGCTTCCTAGGTAATCGAAAGAAATGTCCATCCCACACCCCATAGACTGTTGCATGATCCAACTCATTATAGTCAAGAAAATCATTTGCGACACTAGTCAGCCGTATCTCGGTACTCCCTCCACTTTAAGCGCTTCTGTGAGCTTTGCATTGCTGATTATCTGACATATGACATCCTCACATAACTACTGAATAAGGTTAAGAAATTTTTGCGGGACTGCACTCTGTAGTGTTGAAGTAGCTACCAAGTGACTTAATGATCGACACTGTTCAAAGGTATTTTAAAGTCAAAGTTGACATAGAGAGCTGACTGACATTCTAGGTTCTGAGAAGGGTTGATGAATATTTTACTTAGGGTGGATAAGAACATGATTCCTAATCAGTCCTTGCAGTAGCTTCTCTTCTGTGGTAACCTCATAAGATAGCTGCTGTTTCAAACTGCAGGTGACTTCCCTTCTTTTTTATACCTTCCATAATAGTCTTCAGTACTTCTGTAGGGATTGCATTTAATTCTGATGCTTTTTCGTATGGCTTTGAGTAACTTTATGGCCTTCAAGTTTTCTGTTTTGTCTGGTGCTGCGTGTTCACTGGTGGTTCTGTGTCTCCTGGTAATGGTCTATTCAGTTCTTTGAAGGGACCAGCACAACGATTCCTCGCCCCCCTTCTCTTTGGTAATACTGTTTCCCTCACCATCTTTCATTGGCTTTATCCGTATTGGTCTCTTCTGGATAGAAACCCGCTTAATTAATGCAGTGTTTTGAGGCCCGTCTTACCTACAACGTTTTCTACCCAAAGTGCCAAGATGTCATGAAAGCCTCATCCATAGTTCCTAGTACTCTTCTTAAGTACTTTGCATAGTGCATCGTGGGCTATATTCAGCTCTTCCGCTCGCGGTTCATCTCTGCATGGATTCATCTTCTGTTTCACCATCTCTCTTTGCTCTATTAGAGCCTATGTATCAGTAGTAAGCCACTCATCTCACCTGTTTTTTTTCTTTGGATGTCTACAGAAAATTCTTTCCATGTTGCTTTCACAGAGTTCCAGCATTCTCCCACAGAGGTTTCCAATTTGATGTCCCTTAATGTCTCTGACATTTCGCTGGTCACAACACTGTAGGGGTCATTTACAGCTTCATCCTTCAAATTCTGAGTGCTGATTTTGAATCGAGGTCAATCTTCAGTATCTTTTAAGACTTACAGTTTGATCTTGAAAGTCTTTGTACTAGGGAGTCGTCTTTATACATATTTGCTTCTCTTATCCACGGTAGACTGATTGCGTATCCACTTTCTTCAGATGAGACTGAGTTGAACTTTGTATGATTTTCGACGTTTTCACCTGGCACGTCTGTGCACACTGCCTACAATCACAAAATCACTAAACGTTAAGCAGTGTGTTAAGGGCTCTCTGTTACGCCAAGTGCCTCCTTTCATTCATAATAAATTTTCTTTTTGTGTGATCTGCCTTAGTTTACTTAGCATTCATTTAATCCATCAGAATTTTGACTTCCCAATCTGTCTAGGTTATTGTCCATTACTGTTTCCAGTTATCTGTGGAAGGTTTACCTCTTCTCCACCGAGTTTGCGTTGTCTGTAGAAACGTAGCATTGTGTAATTGTCATTCTCACTCCTTTCGAGTTGAATCTAGCTACCATGGTAAATATCTCTAAGTCACTAGAGCTCAAGATGTTGACAATTTCTTACTATTTTCAATTCTACTAAAATAAAAAGAGCAGAGGTGCTTTAACATCACTGCAACTGATATTTTAGAGCTTTAAATTCTACGTTTGACTTAAACTTCAAAAGAATTAATAAATTCCTTCATCGAGGTTAAACTGTTGTCTATAGGTAGCCTTAATGCTTATCCCACACTGATGAAGTAATAATACTAATTCACCAGTGGTAGTAATCACTTAATGTACTTAAGTGTGTTCTGTAGCTTGTGAATTGTTACTTGAAAATTTAGTGTCGGCGACTTAAACTCCAGCACCACATCAGAATTATTTATTTGACTATGGGAACAAAACGCAAATAATTTTTTAAAAATTAATATCTGCATATTTCAGCACTTCCGGAGATGTGCATTCTTTCTTTTTGCGTCGTAGTTAGTCCAACCTTCACTAGAAAAGCTAAGCCATTCATGAAGCATAGACTTGCTATTAAAGATTACACGCAGAAAGATATTGTCTTTTGTTTTATCAGATTCATATGTGTGATTTAGATCAAATCTATGCTTAAAATATTAGTGATTCAAGTAATTTTGTGGTTACCCAAAGAGAGTTGTTTATTTTGTTTAATATGTTGTGAATGTCACAGAATTTCAGCCAGCCAGTCTTCGATGGACATTTCTGGTAAGTAACATAATGGTTATATTTTCACGATAAGCAGTCTCTGCAAATTTGTTTAGATAACACGCAGTCACAAA